GAGGACCCATGCCTCCAAGCATTCAAACTTATTGCAACACTAAAATACGACAGTTCAAAGCGTCTTTGCTTTTCGACTGCTTGTTACCATGAACTCTTCGCTGTAACACTAAGCAATATACTTGAATGGGCCGGTCAGAGAATACACAGTCAAAGTTCTTCTGATTGCAACACGAGAACATGAAGCCTTTGCTTTTTACTGACAAACATTATTAACATCGAAGCTCCCCAGCTTAACTCCTGCAATCAATGTAGACACTGTGAACAATTCTGCTAACAGATCTCGAGACATGGACTCTTTCACTTTAAGGAACATCCACTAATCAATCCAAGATTCAAGTTGGTAATCTGCAGTAAGCTGAAAGCAGCAATTGTGAACCTTGCACCAAGCTTGGCTTGAGGATTGGAAATGGGTTGATGTATCAAGGCTATCTATTTTTTTCTCGCAAATGTGACCATATGAGTAAAAGAAAGATCCGACTCCTTTCATTCAACTTCTGAGGGATTCAAAGTTTAACTCTGCCCCATTTTACCATGCTAGGTAAATGTTTTCCTCTTCCTCTTTAAGCTCCACTCCTATGGGCCATCAAACCAGTCACTCAATGACGGTAAGTGTTAGGTATAATCAAAAGACACAACCAGCACTAAAGCTTCACTAATAACTCAATGTAATTGACAAATTAATGATTTGTATCACCTGCTTGGAGAGGTAGAAACATTTTGTAATTGCATACACACCCTCATAATTTAACTTCAAAATCTCAGCTTCAACTATTTTCTTTTTTTCTCTTCTGAGCAAGATATTCATGATACTCTACCAATTCTTTCTCCATTTTCTCAATAAATTGACTAGTATGCTCCAAGGACTGTTCATATCGATACTTCTCCAAGGCCTGCAGTTTTACAATTCAACAAAGTAAATCATCAATTGAATATAAATTCATTTTTATTCTTACAAACAGGCTGATTCAAGCATGATATCACAACAAAAAAAAAGCATACATTACCTTATCTTTAGATAGAGTATCTGGAGGAGACATAACATCTGGTTGAACATAATTCTTTCCACGATAAAATATTATGGTATTGTCTGGCTTAATGTCAATAACAGTGCCTCTGCTTAGCCGAGTGAGCTCTGCAGCATATTCATGAATCTGCCCAGGCTTGCAAGGCCTGCATACAACCTTAACTGTCTCATGTTTCTTCCAGTGAAGATGCATATTCAACACCACCCCTCCAAATACTCCTCGTCTCCCAACTGGTACATAATTTTTCTTTTTCTCACCAGTGCGCTTCAAGTAAAACTTCTCCTCTTCAGTTAAAATTTCAGGATCATGTGGTTCATCTGGAGCTTTAGGTACCTCAAAATTTCTCAATTTCTCAATCAACCAAGCTTCCTTTCGTTTTGCCTACAATATACATATGCAATAACCAACATAAAAAGTTAGATCTCATCACTCTTCTTTTTCTTTATTCATCAGTTGGAGCATTGCAGAAGAAAATGATGTAGTTTTTGCAAACACGTGAAAGCTATACTCACTTGATGTACATACACGGATAAATAATTCTCTAAGATTTCAGAACCAAAAGTCAGAGCAAGCAAGAGAACAATGTCAAAAATGATGACATACCAATTTCTTCTTTTTTTGTTTAAACAAAAAGATAATATTTATTACTTCTCTCTCTACCCCTACCCCGTCTAAATTGCTCAAGAAAGCATAAGCCAATAGGAAAGGGGACAAAAAAAAGGGAATGCAGTACAAACATAAGCTTATTCACATAAATAAATCAGGACAACAGAAACCACTGAAATGCTTGGTAATTTGAACTGGAAAATTACTATATAGAGGCAAAGTATTGTATTCAACATATCTTAGACATGGACATCATCACCCTTAATGGATCTAACCTTCTCAAGTTTGTATCTGATCCTAACTTCAGGATTTGGAGATCTCATTTTCTTCTTTGCCTTCAGTCGGTAAAATCTGAGTTCATTCAATTTTGCTTTTTTTAGACATTTTAAACTTCTTCACGACACGCTTAACCTTTGTCTGACCACCTCTTTTTCCGATTTCTTGACCAAATCTAAATCTGACAACACCTTTCTCTGTATTCAGCTCTATGGATGGACTAGAGAACCACCTAGCATGGAGCAATTTCAAAACTATCTCACGAGATCCAGAAGTTAATGAACTTGGCAATAGCAAAGTGTTCATTGCAGGATCTTGACGAGGTAATTTATGAATTAATCTCATTTGGTGATAGTTTCTGGAAATTGAGGAGTTGCTATGACAAAGAAAACACATAAAGGAAGTAGCTTTACGCAAATATGGATTTGGAACACTTTGTCCAGAGTAACAACACATATGAGGAGCTTCCCTGCATAAAACAAAACCAATCAGCCAATAACTTACAAATGCTTAGAAAAAACTAAAAGAAAATGTAAGAATGTATGTATCAATTCGTAACAACCTAAACTGTTGAATGACCTCAATTCGAAATGTTAATTGTCTCATTCTAATTAAGAGAAAGAAAAATAAATTCACACTTCCATTTGACAAATGAAGAATATCTGTTCTTATTGGAAACTCCAAAATAAGTTCTACATAGCAGAGAGGTTATTCCTCAACTCCGGCGCATAGTAATTCTACAATTTGGATAAAGAATGAAATTTTCAATAAGTTGACGGGCAGATTAGAAAAACTATATGATGATTACTATGAACTCAAAATATTTCGGATAGAATGATTGAGAGATGGTCGTTTCTTGTTCCTCATTAGCTTAAATACATTAAGAAGAACTGAATAAAACTCGTAAATTGACTCGCGGCCTCCTTCTCTAAACAAGAAAACGATCAAGCGTCAATAAATAAAAACCCTAAGTACAAAAGTGTCTGTAAATGTGTACCTTGAGCCGACATTGATATCGGAATGCCTGAAAATGAAGCTCCAAAACCTGAGGGAAGAGCTTTTCATGCGATTGTTTATTGCAAGCATGATCTTCACGGTGGCGAGTAGTGGTTGCTCAGCCGCTCTAATTTACCGGCGAAATTTGACCCGCCAAACGCACAACCCCGCCCCGTGAGCTATGAGTCCCCGTTTAAAATTGGGGCCTTCTAAATTCGGTCTAATGCCAAAGCCCATCAAGAATTAATGAGAAACTTTTGGTAAATAGCCACTTCTTTGATTTTTTATTTTGGAAAAGTGTGCACGATTTTTCAAGATTTTTTTAATTCGAAAAAAAGGAATTTTATTAACTTGTAACACTAAAATAAGTTAGAGATATTTGTGTGTTATAAATATATATCATTAAAAGTAAAATTAGTTTGATGACTTTTTTTAGCAATAATAATTTGATGACCTTATATGAAATTAACCCAAATAAACCACCTAATCAAAACCACACTTCTTTCATTACTTACTTTTGACAATAGAGTAAACCAATTCACTACGGGCTGTTTGGAAGGACACCCTGGTAATTGAATTTGGTGTAATTAGTGTAATTACAATGTTTTGTCCTGTTTGGAAGGATAGGTAATTACTTGGTCAGCAGGTAATTGGTGTAATTGACAAGGGGTAATTATACTCTACAATTCACAGGCAGAGGCTGTGAATTGCTAGCAATTACATGGTGTAATTACCACCTGATTACTTTTTTATTTTTTATTTTTTTATTTCTATTTTTATTTTTTTTGTTTTAATTTTTTTTACTTTTATTATTTTAAGTTCTTTTTTTATTTTTATTATTCTAAAAATTTGTAAAAGTTTATTTTTTATTTTATATTATTATATTTCATTTTCTTCTTGTTCTCAACCTTACTTTACGTGATTCTATGTAATTTTCTCGTATTACTATTTCTTTATGCCATGCTTATTTTCTCATTAGCATAATTTTATTAGTATTCTAATTTTTAAATTAAAATAGAATTTATTGTTAAGTAAGGTTATAGACTTATATCTTCTTTATTAAGAAAAAATAAAAGTAAATCATATTTATTGCTATGTTGAAATTTGTTATAAGAGTATTATGTTAAATTTTTTGTTTTGAATTTATAACCTATATTATATTTTCAGTTTCATTTGTTTTAGTAATATTGAATTTACATTGCACACCATTTTTTAATTAGATTTGATAGATTATATTTTTGTCAAACATTTAATAATTTATGACATTTTATTTATATATATTATTCTTTTTATCAAACATGCATTTCACGATGTTCATAGAAACTTCATACTTTTAGTTGTTACGATCAATTCAATTGAAATATATTAACTTGAAAAAATATAAATCAATTATTTTTTGATACTATTAGTTACATAAAATATGTTTATTAATTAATATATTTTCAAAAAAGAATATATATTTTAAATATTTAATTTAATGTCATTTATAAAGTTTTTATTTGTCTAGTATAAATTTTAAATAATTAATTTTTATTTTTAAAATTTATTACAATTTTGTGATTGCAATTGTACATCCAAACAGAACATGTGATAATTACACTGTGACATCCAAACAAGACATGTGTAATTACAGTGTAATTACACTGTGGCAACCAAACAGGTCAGTGTAATTACTAGACAGTATAATTACTAGGTTGGTAATTACTACCCTAGTAATTACACCAATTCCAATTACCAAATGATTTTCCAAACAGACCCTACATTTCTTTTAAAGCAAGCACCTAATACAATGATGAGAATTATGCTGCACGGGCTTATTATGAAACTATTCAACAATGAGTTAAATGATTATTGTTGCTTAATTGATGTGATACACTTATTTTTTAGTCTTTTTTTTTTTTTTAAATGTTATTTTTTTTATAATTAAAAACTTAATTTTAAAACCTCTCTTGTCACGCAAATGATCAAAGAGTGTTTCCATCCCACAAATTGAGACCGAGGAGTAAGCATAGATACTAATTGCTCAAATTAATAACATGGTACAATATTCCAAATTAGGTACTTCATGGAAAATAATGTGTAACGACTTAATTCATTATCGAGACGGAGTTGCAGTTGCTATGGAGTCATCTGTCATAGATTGATCCATTGAGAAGGAGAAATCATCTTCGTCTTCCGACTCGGGTACCGCCCCGTTAATACTTTCCACTTCCCTCAACAGCTCACTAACCTCCGGTCGTTTTTCCGGCGACTTATCACAACAGCTTATAGCAGTCTGCAACAATTTCAACATTCCTGAGTTGGCACTTCTCTGAACAGCAATTTCCGTGTCGAAAATCTCAGCCGTCCATTCTTCTCGGACCGCCCTATGAACCCAACTGCACAGATCCGCACCGGTCACCCCCGGTGGAGCAGAATGTGAAGAAATTCTACCTGTTACAATTATAGTGCACAAAATTTTGCATACACTGTGTCAAAGTCTCTTATTATAATTTGATTTATAAGTGGCTTTGAGTATGAGATTGTGATGAAAATGTCCGTTTAATAAATTGGTACATTTTTTATATACTTTTATATATATATATATATATATATATATCAATGGTATACAACAATGTATATGTGATCATGTAATTCTTACTATTGTGTAATTCTTACAATACTTATAAAATATATGTATGGTATACTCTAAGGGGTCGTTTGGTGTGATGGATAAGGAGAGTTAATCTCAGGATAAATTTTAAGTGCCCCTTATTTCATTGTTTGGTTGCAAAGCTTGGGATAACTTATCCCGGGATTATGAATTAGTGCCGGGATAAGTTATCTCTCATATTGGGTGGTATAGTAATCTCGGAATAACTTATCCTGGGATAAAATAGGTAAATGACAAATATGTCCATTTAAATCCTTTTTATACATCATTTTTCAATTTTCACATTTATGTATATTTACATTTTTTTTAATATCATGTATAATAACATTTACTACTCCTTATTTTTATGATAATTATACATATTTTTCTATTAAAAAATTATACTATATAAATATAATTTTTATTTATGAATTTATTTGACTAATTCTTATATTTATTTTATTTTGATTTCTCATAAATTTTCTTCTCTTTAATAAACTTAAGAGGGAAGTTCTATTTTTAAGCTAAATAAGAAAAAAATTATATTTTTAAATACACATGGTACTTATCATGGGAATACATAAACAAAAATATTTAAGTTAAATAAAATAAAAGTTTTATTTTAAAAAATGAATAACTTTTTTTTTATTATTCAAATGACCCTACAAGGCCATGATTTATTGAGATAAAAATAGAAATGACAACAAAAAAGCTAATCTAGAAAGAGAAAGTGGAAAGTGAATCTTCCTCCAAGCTAAGAACAAACAACATAATATAATAACTAAAGCTTGCAAAGAAAATTTTAAAAAGTTTAAATAAAGTGAAGGGTAATTTTGTAAACAAATAACTTGTTCTTAAAATTTATCAATATATATTATTTTGAATACAACAAACCAAACACTCAATAAGAAATAATCACAGGACAACTTTTCTCATCATAACTAATCCCAACATAACTTATCCCAACATAATTCATATTCAAACCAAACGACCCCTAAGGACTCGTTTGGTGTGAGGGATAAGCATAAATGGTCTTGGGATAAAAAATAGTCCTGGGATAAAATTTAGACTTGTCTTGTTTGATTGACATGTTTGGGATAACTTATCTCACCATTTAACTCACTGGTGTGAGGGATAAACATAAATAGTCTTGGGATAAAAAAAATAGTCCTGGAATAAAATTTAGACTTGTCTTGTTTGATTGACATGTGTGGGATAACTTATCCCACCATTTAACTCGCTGGTGTGAGGGATAAGCATAAATAGTCTTGGGATAAAAAAATAGTCCTGGGATAAAATTTAGACTTGTCTTGTTTTGTTGACATGTTTGAGATAATTTATCTCACCATTTAACTCACTGGTGTGAGGGACAACTATAAATAGTCTTGAGATAAAAAATATAGTCCTGGGATAAAATTTAGATGTCTTGTTTGGTTGACATATTTGGGATAACTTATCTCACCATTTATAGCATAGTGATGGGATAAATTATCCCATATACATGGTGGAATAAGTTGTCCTAGGATAACTAACCCCAGGATAGTTAATCCTGGGATAACTAGTTTCCAACCAAACGACCCAGCTTTATAGGGATAACTAATAATGTAGTATACACAAATATTTGATTCTGCCTGATCAATCAAGAAAAACAAATACCTGTTAACAATTCCAGGAGAAGGCAACCAAAGCTCCAAATATCAGATTTCTTGGTCACTTTCTTGGAAGCCAAATATTCGGGTGATCGATAGGAAACCATTCGTTGAGTAGCGATGGGAAGTGCAATAAGGGAAGTGAGACCAAAGTCAGCAACACGAACATCATCATTTTCGTCCAGTAAAACATTGGTGGATTTTAGGTTGCCATGGGGAACAACGAATTGGGAGGAACTGACGTTCAGGTGTAGATGCTCTAGTGCTCGAGCAACACCACGAGCAACGGACAATCTTGAGCTCCATCGAAATGGAATCCTATCTCTAGTCCCTTTTCCTCCTATTGTTCAACCAACAACGGAAAAAAAAAATCAGTTATGTATTTGAGTAATTATAAATGTTATATGATAGACTAAAAAGAAAAGTGGATCACAGTAAGATACCGTGAATGCGGTTGTATAAGCTTCCGTTAGGTGCAGATTTCAAGAGAAGCAACTTCTCATCCCTTGTATAGTAATAACCAAGAATAGGCAACAAATTTGGATGCTTTATATCACCAATAGCTCTTACTTGTCTCACAAATTCGTCATTTGTTAAAGGTTTCAAATCCCTCAAACGCTTCACCACAACAGTTGGTCCATCTACCAACATTGCCTTGTAACAATTTCCAAAATTTCCTTTTCCCAAACCTTCTGCTGAAGCTCTCAGCAAGTCATCTAATTCAAAATTTATTTCACTACCTAAGAATATCAATTTGCCTTTCTCTAATTCAACCTCTGATGCCACACTTCTTGATTCCACGCTCCTGGTTTCTGTTGGCGTTGTTGTGATCTCAGTTTTGCTAGTCTCCATTTTATCAACCTCCGTTAATCTTGTATTACTATTCATCAGCATTTTCTTAAGCTTTTTTGTTTTTTTGCAGTAGTAAATGACTAGATATAAAAGAACAACAATGCCCACAACGTTAATTACTACCAAGATTGGAGTCAACATGGATAATTTTGAACTATTTGAAGATTCCTTATGTGAACTATCACTTGGAGTTGGTGTAGATGACTCATTATCCTTGATCGTGGTGCACGTTGTGTTAGTAAAAGGAGGACCACATAAATCATGGTTACCTAAGTACGAGGACGGACCAAATTTTTGAAGAGCTATTGTGCTTGGAATTTCACCGGAAAGATTGTTGTTTGAGACATTGAAAACTTTCAAAGTTGACTGATTAAAACCGGGAATCGGACCGTTCAATTTGTTGTTCTGTACCTGCAATGACTCTAGCGAATTAAGTGTTAGAAGAGAAGGTGAAATTTCTCCGTCAAATCTGTTACCGGATAAATCAATGTTGTTCAAATTTTGGTTGTTGGAGAAGTTCATCAAGTTCCCTGATATGGAATTGTTCTTGAAGCTAAGTGTTTGCAATTGAGTGAGATTGACAAGTGCATTTGCCTTGAGTTTCCCAGTAAGGCCAAGATTTTCTAGCACAAGTCCAGTGACTCGACCGTTGATACAGCTAATACCATACCAATTTGGAGTGTTATTCATGTAACACATGAGGCCGTTCCAACTTTTTTGGAGCAATTTAGGATTGTTGAATTCAGCTCGAATCGCCACAAGAGCCTCCCTTTCTGTGCCATGATAGCCTATCGTAGAACCATCTTCGGCTATGGACACGGTACATAATTTCATCATGAAAAGCAAGACAACATAGTACTTGATGAAGAGACTAGATGAACCCATTGTTGTTTGTGAAAAGGCAAAGAGATGCACACAAATAAGGCTCAAAAAACAGGGGAGGTAATTGACAGCTACATTGTTGAGAGAAGAAAACAAGGACGATTGTTTCGAGAAATTGGTTGTATTAACTAACAGCTGAGAATACTAGGAAAGCAGCTAATTACTTCGTTAACTTGTAGTACTAGGTACATAGGAGATAGGCTTGATTATGGGAAACCTCGTGGCAGTGTTTTTGTCTAAGAATTTGCCGCAAGACAAGCTCTATTTATCTTATTAGTCGAATAAGTTCTATGGGTTCGTTCAATTCTTAAGGTTCTTAGCATTGAAGATATACTTCCGTTTATAGTCACGAGTGATTTCTTCATGCTGATTAAAATCCATTCAAGAAAATGAATCTCGAAATCCAAAACATGTAATGCAATTGCTATGTAGAGACAGAGATTGCTCATCCCTAATGTTTGTCGATAGACAACAATTAGAACTTTTACCATGTTAAAGAAATAAACATTAGGCCAAACTCAACTTCAAAAACTAACTCATACGGTGAGAAATTGTTTAAAACCATATAAAGAGACTACAATCTATACCCTTATTCTCGATCCAATATTAGGTAAACCAAGAAAACGGACATGTTTGTGACACCAAATTAAAGGACGGGCCAACAAGAAGGATTGGGAGGCTGGCAAGTTTCTGAAAAATGGTTCAGACAAATCTAACATTGGTATCAATAAGGATGATATGCCCGTTCTTGGGCTGAATGATGGCTTAGCCCAAGAGACAAACCATAAATCTATTGAGCCGAAGCGAATATTACTGTTGATTTTTAATAGGTTGCATAGAATATAAAACCATACAATATAATAGCCATCAATTATTTGCAAGATCGCATGCAATGTCATCAGAGACTTAGTCGCGTGTGTCAGCTTCAAAATAAATTTTATTTCCAACTCTTTTAACCAAAAGTCAGTTGGATTGGGTCCATCCAATTAAGGTTTGTGTCCACTAGGAAAGCTACCCTTTCCAATTGTCACATTAATATTAATCAAATCCTCCTTTTGAACTACTAATCCATCACGTGAATGTGCATTGTTTTATCATTTAAGTATTTATTTTTTTCCATTCGGTCTCTGGTTTCGTGCCAGGAAGTCCCACATTCGGGTAAAGTGCTCTCTAACAAAGGCGATTCCGTATCCAAGAGACTCAAACCCAAGACCTCTTAGTTAAGATATCACTCCATCACAACCCTTATTGTGCATTGTTTTATTCAATTTCATTTGTCTATAGACTTTTACGTACTCTTGGACCTTGGTTGACTTCTCTAACTAGGTACTCTTGTAGTATCCTCTACATAAAAATCTATTGAAGTCTTCCCAAATTTCTAAAAATTGCCAAGTGCTAAAAATATGTAAGTAGTAATATATTCGCTTTCAGAATTACTTCACTACTTCATGGCATTCTTTTTTGGCTATAGGTTGTCCTTGCTCACCTACCATTAGAAGCGAAGCTAAGATTTCAACTTTATGGATTTTAAATTTTATAAGTAGGAGTAATAATAATTGGACTTTAAATTTAATGTGTACATATTCAATGAATTTATTAGCACAAATAATTATTTGAACAAAGATACTAGTTCTGCCCCTGCCTAAAATATGTTTGAGGCTAATACTATCACTTCAAAATTGTTTGGGTTTTTCGACTCTATTCTCCATTCCATATTTAGTATGCATGTAATTCTTCCGTACAATTAAGCGTAGGAGAAAACTAAAAACAGAGTACGCGCTCTAACAAATTAAAATTTTAAAATACGTTATATATATTTAAAATGTGAAAGGTTTTTACGCTATTAATCTAATTTAACATGTAATGATAGATATTAATTAATGTTATCGTAGATAGTCATTCATAATTATACCTTACTGACCTGACCACAAAATTAAGACTTTTCTCAACTTTTTGTAGTGTGCAGATTATTGCATAATCAGGTTAAGTCCACTTATAACAATAGATAATAAGATAAATATATCTTCCTAGCAAGTCTGATATGATAACCTAGAAAATAGAAGAGTAACATGTTTTTTAACTGTTTAAATTGACCTAATGGAATAAGAAAATTTCACTCACTCTTAGTATATATAACTTAAATCCGTAGTCTTTTCATTTTTTTCGCTTTTTTTTATCAGGAGCAACAAGAAGTTCACTGGGTAAATGTTTTTATTTATTGATATTGGATACTACTAACAATTTCATCTTGCAGCTTGCGCTAACTGAACGAAACTAATTAGTATACATATATATTATATATATATATTTATATATCAGTTGAATGCAGAGCAAACTTTACGAATTTCACCGTTAGTCCCTGTCAAAACTTCAATATTGCTCATTTTAACCATGGACCTTCCAAATTCCAAGCCGAATCTCAATCCAAGAAATCCCCTGAGGCCTAAATACCTTTGGACAAACACCTTAGTCGAAGCATCGGTCCACAATTTCTGGTCTGATTCCAGAATTCCGCGACCATTCCTCAAGTTAGAGAAATACGAGGTGTCAAAATTGTTCACGCTTCCAGTGTCTAGTGCCACACGCTTCGAGCCATCCCCGTTTTGTGGACATAATGCTTGGAGCTGAGGAAGAAAGGTTGAATCTATTGAAGGGTCAGGGGCACCAGTGGAGTTGAAATTGTATAGCCTGTAGCTGAAGAATTGGCATGCTGAGGTTCCAATTGTGTGCCCACCTGACCACACAAAATTAAAATTAATATGTCATTACATTCAGAGTCGTTTAAGTCTTTAGTACTAACATTATCCAGAGTATTGGTTATAAATACTCAAATCAAAATTATTTGTTTTAGTAATGTTATGTTAGACTTACCAACAAGGGTGACAAGATCTTGAGTGTTGAGACCCTTTGCAGCAAACTTTTGCTTTTGAGCATCAACAGATTCAGTAAATCCTGGCAGATTAGATGCGTCTGATGCTCTTGAAACTCGTCCATCTCTGCGTCCCGTGGGCACAGACCAGGTCAATCCCTTAGTCTGCATCAACAAAACTATATTATTACGAAGAACTTAAATTTTTATATACACCGATAATATAAAAAAAAAAAATTATACTACATTACTAGTACTATATGTTAACTAGTAGTTATAGTAGGAAAGTGGTAAAATGTAACGTATAATTATTTTTTAGGTGATCTGAAAGTGTCAAATTTTGTGAAGTTAAACTCTGTTACTAATGCATGGGACCATATATATAACCAAAAGGTCCAAAGAAAAAAACTATGTTCTTTCATGCAATATCCATGTATATATAATTACCACGAGAACGGAATCACGAGCAGCAAGAGCAAGAATGTCAGCACATGAAACAACTCCGGGACAAACAGCTTCAATTTGCTGCTTAGCATCGTCAATAACCTCGTATCCTCTCAACAAGGTATTCGGAGGAGCTGTTCTCTCAGTGCCAGCACCAGAAATGAGGATGGAACCGTCACAACCTTGTACGAAACAATCATGAAAGTGCATTCTCAACAATCCTGGTGCCACCGTTGGATCAGACTGAAAATGAGACCTCACCGTTGATTGAACGATGGATTCGGCTCTTGGACACGTACTGGAATAAAATCCAACACGAGTCCCTTGGCCGAATACCATAGTCACATCAATTACTAGCACGAGAAAAAAAATAATTGTAACCATTTTGTTGATTGAATTGTAATAGTAGTACGCCATATTTGGTGTTATGTACGTACTATGAGTATAATATTCTACACTCTTTTTTTTTGTTTTGTTACTTTGCTTAGTGATTGAAATTGTATAAGAAACCTGGATATATTTATAGGCACAAGCAAATAAAGGATATACATGCAACTTATTAAGTAGCTAGATCAATGGAGTAAGAGACTACGAGTAAGCAAAGGTGGCTAACATAACAATACTTGAAAATGTCTATATGGGGCCTATACGCGTTTGATTTTTTCTTCTTTATTAATGAAATTATTAATTGTTATTGTTTTTTTGCTTTTGTGATGTGTGGTGAGTGGTGGATCAAGAATTCAACGTTGTTTTGTGGCCATGAGTTGGCATGCAACTAATGTATTCTCTCCGTTCCAATTTATGTGATGTAGTAATGATATGAAATTTAAGAAAAATAATAATTAATATTGAAACTTGTGGTTTTAAATAAGTTATAGATGTTGTACGACTATAAATCATTTTATTAAGGATAAAATAATCACTTTAAAATTAAATTGTTATTAAATATAAAAACGTGTGATTCATTTTTACAATAATTTAAAAAAAAATATGTCATATAAATTGAGACAAAAAAAATAGCACCCTTGATTTTGTCTTGTCTCTTTTAACTCAAGTTTGTAATTAATATATATGAGATTTGCATGTAAATTTGTAGGTATAAAATAGTGAATTTTGTAGGGTGTTTGGGTGTCATAATTGATAAGCTAATAATGTGAAATGTTGACTAAAGAAAAGGTAGGGATTACTATTTACTAGTACTAGAAATATGAGGTCATGTTAAGAAAAGGAAAAGCATTATTCGAAGGAGCACTCGTATCTTCAATTTGTGAGGGAATAATTGGGGGGTTTCACACTTACTTTCGGTTCTATGTATTAAAAAAATTCGTCAATACATGTTGCTATTGGTAATATTAATTGCATATCGGTAGGGCACGTTAAAATTTAGAGTTTAAAATTTTTTATTCCATAATTGTTCAATATAAATATTAAATTAAAATTAATGAATTTAATCAAACTTACACTCAATAAATTTAGCTCCGTCGAAGATTGGGACATTGTTTTAGTGCGTTTATTGTCTGGTAGTGGTACTGTAAAAAGAATAAACAAATAGAGAAGTGACACATTGTACAAAAAAAAAATGTGCAAATCAGATTCATAGTTCTAATAAATTGACCACTCCACTTTACTTTATAGTATTCTCATATTTAATAATGGATCGTTCATCGGTATAAAAATAATGTTATATGGAATATATTTATTATATTTATGTTAATTATGCATGGTTTGATTTGGGATTATTAAAACTTGAATGCATTGCATAAAATAAAAAAAATTACAAAAATATCCTTCACAATTATTATGGAAAATTTTGAGGGGTAATTGAGTTTTAATCAGGCTAATGCATGCATTTAATCTCCTTGCATTACTAATATCTAGAAATTCATGATATTAGTAACACACCTTGATACACAATAGAGTTGCATAGCATTAAAAAATATATCA